ATGGCGACTCTTTATTCTTCCGTCTCTCCTCAGCCGACACTTGAAACTGGATGCTATACGATGAAGAGCGGCTTCAAGGCCGACGGGAAGGAGCGGGACCATCCATTTCGCCTCGCAAGAATCACCGGAAAGGACGCATCTGACCGCTGGTTCTTTTCTCGACCGGTGCTAAGAAACGGCGACAAGGAGACGCAGTTATCCATCTTTTATCATACATCTCAAGCGTCAAGTTGTGGTTAAGTCCAAATACGGGGTTTGCGATGGTGGACGTGGGATTCAGCTTGGACTCCTGAACTTCCGAAAGAAACATGCAGACCGCCAAGGAAGCCATACCGTACCTACTACCGCAGATGGAAGCGGATGATGCAAATTGCTGACCGAACCGGTAACTATGTGAGACAATTAGGCCGTGCGTTCGCTTTGCGGGATGCGTTTCCTCGGATGCCGAGCTTCGTAGCCGCGGGATGGGTACGCGTCGACCCGTGAGTATGTGGGAAAGCCGCGACGTACCATATCGGGCAATCAACATGATGCGATCTTGGCCGTCACTAACAAGACGGAGCGATCTGGATCGGGGAGCTGGAAAGTGCTACCTTGCAGCGGAGGACGGAGAAAGACCCTTCAAGAGCCAGGCGATCGTTCAAGTTTTATGAGTGCGGAGCAGCATTCGGTGTGGGGTCGTCGGAAGGTTGCCAGAGAATTTTTTCAACGGTTTTCCATCATGTTCCTTGCCGCAGGTTCTTTCCGTATCGGCAAAAGCGTCATGTTCTTCCGATCCTCGGAAGCCTCTACGCGATCTGGGAATTCTGGATACGAAATGGATCTCAGAGTCGTGAGGCTTCAGGCAGCCGACCAACGGTGGCCGAGGGGAACGCCTTCAACGCAAGAGCCCAGTTCTTCCATTGCGTCGAGAGTCGCTGGAGCGTGAACACGCGTCGACGCGACCGACGCGACTGGTCAATGAGGAGGAGACCCGAGGGGAGACAGAAGGATCGGATCGAGGAGTTCAATTAGAGAATTCAGACCAAAATTCCAGCCAATCGGATTTCTCCACGGCATGATTTGGCCAATGATCCCTGCCAAAAATGGCGCAAAGTGCATGTGAATATTCTGACCCCAAAATTTTCATTTCGCAGTTTCTAAATTTGCAACCACCATCCTTGGTCTCGGAGGAGTCCGTTCTGTGCTGCTGGTACATCCTCCACCTCCTTACGACGGACCTATCCATCGGGCTACACATCCCGGTCTTAGCGAAAAGATAGACCGCAGGTTTACATCGCACGGATTCCGCTTGCACGGCTACCGGGGAACGGCTGTGAAGAGATAGATTGGGACTTTGCTTTGGGGAACAACAACAGAAGAAAACAGGAAAGAAGCCACGTCATCGGAGTTCGAGATTGTAAATCCCTCACGTAGGATAAAAAGCGGGACTCAACTGTATTGGATTCAGCTGGAGACGACCTGCGACGGGGAACAGCTTTCAGCTGTCATCTTTCAACTTCGAAAGCGGTTCGGAATCGTCTTGACTCTCTGTGGGAACCGCATTCCCTCCATTGCAGGAGAACGACGGAGCCGATCCGGCTGTCCGGGATTATTATAGGCCCTGAGAACTTGCGGGACTTTCGCCCTTCAGCTTGAGAGCAGAGTGAAAAGTAGATTCAGAGAACAACATGCCCTCCGGTTCATCCTCCGAGGCCCCGTCCTCGGCACGCAGGACCAACGCTTCCACTGCCGCTGCATCCGCACAATCTGCAGCCACCAAACGCCGCCGCTCCACCAACGCCGCCTCCGCCATTTCCGCCTCCGACGCCATTGTCGCTGCAGCCGCCGCTGCAGTGGCCAACGCCAACACCGCCTCCTCCCTCCCCCCGCCCACCACCTCTCTCTCTGCCGCCGTTTCCCAGCTGACCGCCGCGACCGCCGCCGCCGCCGCCGCCGGTCGCAAGGCCATCCCCGCCAACTCGCTGCTCTCCCATCCCTCCGTTGCGGCATCCAACGGCTTGCCTTCGGGGCTGTCGTCGTCCGCCCTCGCCCCGCCGGCGCTGAGGACCGCGGCGGCGGCTCTGTCGGCGTCGCTGTCGCCTCCCATCGCGGCGACGCCGGTGACGCCGTTGGCGGGGAGCGCGACCACGAGCAGCAAGATTGCGAGCAAGAACGTGCCCGCGTTTTTGAATAAGCTGTACAATATGGTTAGCGATCCTGGCTCGGATGATTTGATTCATTGGTCGGATGATGGACAGGCTTTTATCGGTATGTTTATCTTTGTTTTTCGGCGTTTCAGCTTAGACCTGACCGACTTTTTCCGTCTGTCGACAGTTCATCGCCATGAAGACTTTGCGAGGGAAGTTCTGCCCAGGTTCTTCAAGCACAACAACTTCTCGTCCTTTGTCAGGCAGCTGAATATGTGTAAGTGCTTCGCTTTATCCTCATTCCAAAATACTCACACTTTCCATCCCCTGAACAGATGGCTTCCATAAGATCCCGCATATCCAGCAAGGTGCGCTCTACACCGACGGCGAACCTGAAATGTGGGAATTCGCGAACCCGCACTTCCAAAAAGGCCAGCCGGACCTGCTCTGCCTTGTGACTCGCAAAAAGTCGCGCGACGCGGACGAAAAGGACGGCGTGATCGACCTAAACACGATCCTGCATGAAATCTCGGCCATCAAGCGGCACCAGTACTCGATCAGCAACGATTTGAAAAACATTCAGCGTGAGAACCAGATCCTGTGGGCCGAGACGGTGGGGCTGCGGGATCGGTACCAGAGGCAACAGGGAACGATCGACAAGATTGTGAGGTTTTTGGCGAGCGTGGTGTCGGCGGAGAGGCCGCTGATTGTGAAGAAACGGAGGCTCATGCTGGAGGATAACCCATTGTCGAGCGGGGATGAGGAGGCGAGTTTGGGTGATGCGAGCGGGGAGGAGGAGATTGGGCCGGGCGTACAACTCAATGCTGGTTCGAGTGTGCTGGGTAGGTTTGACCTTCCGTCTCATGACGCCCCTCTATCCTGGCCGTGGCTAACTTGTCCGCCTCTCGAAGAAGATCCGCTTCCCGATATTGTGCACCAAGGCGTCCTGGACTTGATCCAAAGCCCTACTCCTACCCATACCACCAAACTACCCACTCCTCTCGATCTCCTCCCCTCCTCTCTCCCCCCTCTCACGTCCTTCAACTCTGCTCCCGCCACCTCCACCACCTCAACCGTTCCCCCAACCCTCTCGACCCCGCTCGCCCCCTCCGCCTCGACTCTGGACCCCCACCTCGCCAGCCTCCACAGCGTCACCCAAGCCCTCCACGACACGTCAAAATCCGCTGCCACGATCGAGGAGGACATCAACCTGCTCGATATGCACTTAAACACAGCTACGAACCTCCTGGGCATCGACGAGCCCCTCGACCTCAACATGCACGAGTTCCTCAACGTTGCCGGCGACCTCTCCCCAAGCCTGGCCGCCGCAGCCGTCGGGGCTGCGCAGTCGGCTTCCGCTCCCCCGCCCACCACCGTCGACCCGCTCGCCATCTCCGCCCTCGCGGCCACCACCACCGCACCTGCCACCGCTGCCCCGGCATTTGCCGACGTGGCGCACAGCCTGCCGGGGTTGCTCGATTTCGGCGACATGGACGTGGACGACGACGAAGGAGTCATCAAAGTCGACGACGACGACGAGGACGAGGACGAGGACATTGATGTGGTCTCGACAGCGCCTCCCGAGGACCTGTTGAGTTCGCTGGTGGCGCCCCCTGCTGTGGCGGCACCCCCGAAGCCCGGCCGTGGCCGCCCCAAAGGCTCGACGTCGGCGCGGCGTGCGAGCGTCGCGGCTGCCACTACCGCCGGTGCGTCGGGTCGTGGCGGCAAGGAGGGGACGGCGGCGCGGGGGCGGCCCATGCGATCCAACAAGAATGCGCGGGGCGGGGCGGCGGCGGCTGCGGCGGGGATGGCTGGAAAGGCGTCGGCGTCGGGCAGCACCACCACCACCGCCACGACGTTGTCGGCTGATGAGCTGTTGGCGGGGTTCCCGTTGATGGACGATACGTTGGCCGGTCTGACGGGCGGGGAGAAGGTTGATGGGTGGAGGAGGGGGAGCTTGCCGCCGAGAGCGGCTAACAACACGGGGGTGTTGGCGGGTGGGGACGGGGCTGTGGGGGCTGGGGCAACCTTGGCCGCTGCGGCGGCGGCGTTGAGGCCGTTGGCGGGGGATGGATCGACGGGGTTGGAGGTGAGCCCGTTGGATGCCGAGCTGGATTTGTTGCTGGGTGGGGCGTTGGGTGGTGTTTATTGAGGGTGTATTATGCTATTCCGTTTTTCTATTTGGGTGTTGCCCCGTCTTTGCTCTTCGGACTTTTTCCCTTGCACAACTCCCTTGCATCGTATCTTTTTAACCCCGTTGTCGTATCCTTAACGTCTTGCTGTAATAACGTCGGTATTTTGTGTAGTTTGAGTTCTTTGGAAGCGGTACCTGGTGTTGGTGGGGTTGCTTGAGGTATGCGCGCGTATATAGTTTTGTTCGGTCGATTGTTAAGGGATGAGCATTATTATTATTGTGGAAGCGATAAGGTGGCTCCTTTTTTTTCTCCCCTTTGCGAGAATTCGTGGTCGTGTTAAAGAAGTGAAAGAAGAAGGTAGCTTTGTAACTGCCCGAGTGTTGACACATGCAAGTTTTTCGAACGATTGATCTGAAGAGTCCGAAGTGATGGAAAAGTCCAAGGCTGTTGTTGATATCCGTTACGTTCTCAATCAAACTAAAAAGGTTGTCCTCTCCGATGGATAGGCGCTGAACATGTTCTCTTTGGCCGAGTCGCGCACAGGAATTAAAAGAAAATTTTTGTCGTCCAGCATTTGACACGCGAAAAACGCTACGTCGCGTCCGTTGAGTCGAACCGGCGCCTTCACGACATAGGGAGCAGCTCAGAATTGCCGTAAACAGGCCTTGCGGCGACGTCAGGTAAAAAAGCAAGCGAAAAAAAGACGGATTAGCTATTCTGGCTGCGCAAAAAAATACGTCGCCTGCAGGATTCGAACCTGCGCTCCCGAGGGAACTGCCTGAATTGCTAAGTTTAAAATAGCAGGGCAGCGTATTAACCACTCTACCAAGGCGACAATATACAATGCAAGTGCCCGTCGGCTGCAGGATTCGAACCTGCGCTCCCGAAGGAACTGCCTGAGCTGGACAGTGGAGTATCGCCACCGCCATAGCAGGGCAGCGTATTAACCACTCTACCAAACCGACTTATTATGTTGTTATATTTATGTTACGGATTTTCCCCTTTTACTCTTTTCCTCCTCTTCTCTTATCACCATCCCTTGTATCACTTTTATTTTTAAGGTCCGCAAAGTCCTCAATTTTCGGACTTTGCCGACTTTGTCCGGAAGTCTTGTCCGAATTCCTTCAGTCTCTTCCCCACACACTCCAAAGTCACCCAACACGACCTTGAGCGTTTTCTCGACTTCGCCGCGACTTTGCGCGGCTCCCCTGACTCCGCCGCGCCCTTCCCTTCGGGCTATAAAAGCCGCATTCATGTTCACTCTAAAGATTATCAGATGAGAATACAGTTTTATTAAGGACACTACAACCTTCACAACTCTCTCTCTCGTCTCACTCACGGAGTTTCTCGACTCAGGAAAACTCCGTATCATTTTGGTAGCACCTCCGTATCGATCCACCCCTCAGCCTCAGCCCCCTCGAACGATCCAAATGGAGCACGAATCCGTACTCATCAACTCAATGACTCCCGAGCCTGTTCAACCCTCCGTAGAGGACCATCTAGCCTACGCCGACTCAGGCCAAGAGCTCACGACGGAGCAAAGGCTCTCTCTCGCTGAAGCAGTCCTCAGAGAACGCGCGGCCTCGCGGTTTGCGCGCCAAACCAGCGCGTACAACGCTGGCTCCTCGCAAGCCTCCATCTCCCCGGAGCCGGTGCCAAACTTCCCTGCGACCACCGGCATCGACCCTCGCATCTTACAACAGCTGTTCGCCGAGTGGGAACGGCAACAACAACAACGACAGCCTGATCGCCAACCCGACCTCCCCCTTTTCAAGAACCCATCTGTCAAACCCCCATCCTTCTCCGGCGACACCATAAAGAAGAAGAACGCACGTGAGGGTCAAGCCATCATTACACGCTACCTTGTGAAGGCCAAACGCATGTGCGCGGCAAACGACCTCCTTGGCGACGAAGAAGCCCCTCGCTTCCGTTTTCAAAAGACCTACGTCCAGTGGTTAACGCAAGGTCTGGAAGGGCATGCATCGGACATGTGGGAGAAGCTCTCACCGTATGCCCACAATCACATGACCTTCGCTGAGTACCGCCAATGGATCCAAGAAACGTTCTCCTCCCCCCTCAGCCTTCAAGAGGCGGTCTCGGCACTCTGCAACGTCAAGCAGAGACGCTCCTGTGCCGATTATACCCAGGAATTTGACGACCTCTACGCTACCGTGCAAGCTGCTGGAAAACGCTACGACGAAGAGGTCCTGTGCATCCTCTACCGCCAGGGACTCAAGAGCCATCTCGCCACCGACAAGAAGCTGTTCGACATTAACGTCCTCCGAGATCTCCAGGTAGAGGCAGACCGGCTGGACCGCTACCACTGGGGGAATCGCGACCGTACCTCCGGAAGGTCGGACAACCGTGGCAACGGCAAGACGACGGCCCGATCGGACGATATGCAAATTGACAACATCGAAGCCGGGAAGCGATTTCGGAAGCTCACTCCAGAAGAAAAGGCCGAGTACAAGCGGTCCAACCGCTGTACCTTCTGCAGAGAGTCCGGCCACACCATCGACGCCTGCAAGCATCCCCTCAAGAAGCCATTCAAGCCCCGCGTCAACAACGTTGAAACCGAAACGGAGCCCGTCGAGTCCGACGTCGAAGGCTCCGACGCCTCCGAGTGAGGCTGCCATCAGCAAAATATCGACTCCGGTTAGAGCCGCCACCCGGAGTAATGTGCCATCGACCCCTGAAAGAACCTCATACCCCACGGCCTCATCAAAAGCTTCTCCACCGAAAAGGAAGCATCAGAAACGGACGACCTCATCCCCTCTACCAACCGAAAAGCCTAAACGAGACAAACCGCCGACAAGAGGAAACCCGTTCCTCCGAACCGAGCACACGCTCATCTCATACGCCATCCCCACTCCAAAGGCCTCTCGCAAGGAAAAGGCTGACCTCAGTCTCTACCACCTCGGCCTGTCTCCAGCACCGACCCCTCGCCTCATAGCCATCCCCGGTACTATTGACCAGCGCCAAGTCAAGGTGTTGTTCGACATTGGTGCATCTCCCTCCTTTATCAGCAACAAGCTCGTGAGGCGCCTCAAACGCGCAGCTACCCCCGGACGATCCTTTTCCATCAACCTGGCCTCTCGATCTCACGCCCCTATTGACGGACAGCTCTTTGAAAACCTCAGCCTTCAGATCAACGACTACAGAACAGACTGGAATTTTATCGCTGCCGACATCTCGTATGATGTCATTCTAGGCATGGATTGGATGGAGGCCCACGAGCCCAAATTCAACTTCAAGCAAAAGACGGTCTCGTTCGGCAACTTCGTTCTCTCGACAGCACCCACTGGCCCGCGGAAAGAGGCGCCAAGTTTGGCAAATCTCGAGGGCATTGACGTCAAGGTCGGCACCAAGAGCTCGGTGCGGCGGATCCTCCGACACCCCGATGCAGAAATCGGCTTCGTCTGGGCCAAACCGATCGACGGCGACACCTCCACGCTAAACTCTATCATTACTGGTACCCAGGACAGCAACCAGAGGGACAAAGAAGCACGAGAGAAGCTTCCGACAGAAGTTCAGCAACTCCTCAACGAGTTCCCAACGGTTTTCGAAGCGTACAAGGGAGTCCCGCCTTCGCGACCATGGGATCACCGAATTGATCTCATAGACCCTTCTGCCAAGCCTCCAAGCCGACCCATCTATCCCATGTCTAGCAAGGAGCTCGGACCCCTCAAGGAAGAGCTTACCTTCCTCAAGGACGAAGGTCGCATTCGCGAGAGCATCTCAGCATATGGAGCTCCAGTATTTTACGTACACCAAGGCGGCAAAATGAGGCTAGTCTTTGACTACCGCCTCCTCAACCAAAACACCGTCAAGAACCGAACGGCACTCCCCAACATCACAGAAATCCTCGACCAGCTTCTCAACGCCCAATTCTTCGCCAAGGTGGACCTCGCATCCGGGTTTCATCAGATCCGCGTCCGCCAAGAAGATCAACACAAGACAGCCTTCCGAACCAAATACGGGCACTTTGAGTGGGTCGTTATGCCCTTCGGACTCGCGAACGCACCCGCAACATTCCAGCAGATGGTCAACTCTGTCTTCAGCGATTACGTCGACGTCTTCCTTATCGCCTACATGGACGATATTCTTATCTTCAGCAAGACCCACGAAGAACACGTGCGGCACATCCGTCTTGTGCTGCAACGACTCAAGGATCACGACCTGAAGGCGCGACTGCACAAGTGTGCCTTTTTCCAGACACAGCTCGAATACCTGGGATTCTTAGTATCTGCTAATCGACTCAGCGTTCTGCCGTCACGAGTGCAGGCCATCAGAGACTTCCAGGCGCCTAAAACGTGGACGGACCTTCGATCTTTCATCGGCCTCTGCAATACCATACACCGGTTCGTCGCCCGACACGCGGAACTCGTCGCTCCTCTCTCCGATCTTCTACAGGGCGCTGGATCCAAGAAATCGCCATCGCCTTTCTCTTGGTCAGACGACAACCAAGCAACCTTCGAACAAGTAAAGGACGCCATGGCGAATCCCAGCAACCTAGCCCTCTTCGATCCCAACAAACCTGTTCATCTCTATTGCGATTGGAGCAATCAAGCCATCGGGAGCTATGTGGCTCAGCCCGGCGACGACGGCATCGAAGCACCCGTTGCCTTTGCTTCTCGAAAATGCAACCGCGCCGAACGGAAATATCATCCATATGCGGGCGAGGTCATGGCACTCGTTGAAGCTCTCAAAACACACCGCCACTATCTCATTGGAACAGACGTCAAGGTGTTTACCGACCACCACTCCCTCCAACACCTTCTCGACCAGCCAAAGCTCCGACCCGTCCACCATCGCTGGCTCGCCGACATCCTGGCCTTTGACTTCAGGATCGAGTGGATCCCCGGCGAGTGGAACTCGGTGGCAGACGCCCTTTCCCGCCAAACGAGCGATAAGGATGCATCGACCAGCACCATCAACGCATTGGTCCGAATCGACAATGATCTCCTTCAGGACATTCGACGAGCATTACCGGACGACGAATTATTTCAACAACTCGACCCATGTCTTGACGATACGATCCGCCCGAAGCCTGACTTCGAACCACAGCGCCCACCGCGAGAGCTCTACGCCAGATGGCGTCGATTCACCTTGAGTGACGGTCTTCTATATCACGGTACCCGAAGACAACGTGATTTCAAGCTCTACGTCCCCGACAGCCCGATCAGGCATAGCATCATCCAACGCGCCCACGACGACGGCCCCTCCATCCATAACAACTGGGAACGGACCACCGAACGTATCAGCCGTTTCTATTATTGGCCTCTCCTTAATCGAGACGTCGAACGATACGTACGCACGTGTGACGCATGTCAACGACACAAGAAGGCTCGACACGCCTCATTCGGACTCCTCCAACCTCACGAGGTCCCCCTCCAACCCTGGTCCCAAGTCTCCTTCGATTTCCTGTCGCTGCCCCCTACCCGACGACGCAACGGTCAGAGTTTCGACAACCTTCTCGTTTTCGTCGACTCGGCCACTCGACGCGTCAGACTCATCCCTTGCACAAAGCAGATCGACGCAAGGGAAACAGCTCGCATCTTTGCTCGTGAGATATGGAAGCATCATGGTTTACCTCAGAAATTGATAAGCGATCGCGACACTCGGTTCATGGAACGTTTCACACAGGAACTACTCAAAGCCCTGAAGATCGAGCACAATGCCTCAACAGCCTTTCATCCCCAGACAGACGGACAAACAGAGATCAAGAATTCGTGGATAGCGGAAGCCCTTCGAGCATTCGTCAACGATTTTCAAGACGACTGGGATTTGTACCTCCACATCGTTGAATTTGGAATCAATGACACCCGCAGCAGCTCCACAGGGTTCACGCCGTTTCAGCTCGACTGCGGCAGACATCCTCGCTCTCCCCTCGACATCCCTACGATCCCCCAACACCATATGGAGGCCAGAGCCTGGCAAGACCTCCTCGCGGCAGCAAAGCATA